TGAGTGAATGAGTGAGTGAATGAGTGAGTGAAGGAGTGAGTGAGTGAGTGAGGGAATGAGTAAGGGAATGAGTGAGTGCATCGGCAGTCATGATCCCCAGGGTAGATGATGTCATTTATTATAGAAAGCTTTGGCTCCCTTTACTGCACTGGCAAAAATGCTACCTCAGGTAGAGCCAGACGTGTAATTAGAATACAGGTGGGATTTAGAAATAAAAACATGACCTTGAAGTAGGTGAAGAGTTGCTGTCATCTGGAAGTCACTGAGAGCCTGGTCTCTTACACTTACGTTAACTCAGATATCTGCGCTATACTCGAACCAGAATGACTTTTTGAATGGGAGCAATTCAGATGTTATTTTTCGTTTTGACTGGCTCAGTGATATTCTGAGCATAAGACACTTTGTTTAAAAACATCTTGTATGTATTTCTGATGCGTGATAACCCCCAGACACTTAAATATTGTAGTCAGACAGATGAGGTAAATAAAACAACGGCTGGAAATTGGGCACTCTTAGGAAACGAAACCAAAGTCATCGATTGCCTGCTATGAACCAGGCATTGTGCTTGACCTTTAACAGAAACGATCTCATTTATAGTTGAGAAATCAGGCTGTGAGAGGTAAACTAACTTGCCTAGTGTGAGGTTCCCTGCAGGAGCTGGGATGTGAACTAGAGCTGCCTGACTCTAACATCCTTAACTTTGAGGTGTGAACCTGATCGAATCAACACCACCTCTGAGTATCTCAGCTTGCCAAACACACAAAGGCATCGGGAAGTGGAGCGGATGAAGAAGGCGGGGATTAAAATCATGACCCACACAATCGGATGCCTGGGAAAACTCTTGATTGCAAACTATTATCCAAAAATCAAATGTATGTTTGGGTGCAGTTCACTAGTTCTTGAATGAGATCGATATGTGAACGTGAGACACCTTCACAGAACACCGTAGGACTGTATGTCTGTTAGATAGTTTGTTAGAGAGATCAAATCTAGAGGCAAGAGCATACTGGCATATAAGTAATTTTATAGAGACTGGATCACTTTTTTCTACATTTCAGGCACATTTCTCCAGAACAACAATTCCTTCCCAGGTTCATTTCTGTCAGAATTCTCTTCTCCTCCTCATTCCAGTTCTAGCAACCAGTTTTTAAATGCAGAACATAGTAAACAGTAACCCAGGCGGCCATGACAATTGCTTGTTCAAAAGTCCCCTGGAGAATGTCTGCTAGGAGCCTGTACTTCCTGCATATCATCACCCTCTTGGCCCAGGGGGAAACCAACGCCGAAGCCTAAAGCTAAGAAGCAGGAGGCTCAGAAAGGGGAGGTAACCTTCCCGAGGTCATCAGCCATGAGTGCGAGCACGGGCTCCCACTCACACCCAGATCAGCCTGACTCTAAGCCTGTGCCTTTTCGCACCACAGCCGCTCAAGTATCCAGCCCCACAAGTATCCAGCCCCGCATTTGATCAACAAGATCTGCAGACTAGGCCCCTGATCCTAGGGCCTTTTTGGATTGTTTTTTACTGGTATTTTTATTTTTAAATTAGTTTCAGGTGTACAAAACAACATAATGAGTAGATATTTACACCCCTCACAAAGTGATAACCCCACCAAGTCTACTACCTATTCTGACACTGTACACAGCTATTACAATATCATTGACAATATTCCCTATGCTGTACTTTACATCCTGTGACTATATATACATATATATATATATATGTATATATATATATATATATATAGAGAGAGAGAGAGAGAGAGAGAGAAAGAGAGGGAATATATGATAGAT